AATTTTGAGAATCTTAATATTTTGTATAATTTTATTAATAAAATACTAAAAATACTATTATTCTCAAAATTTTACTAATTTATACTCTAAGTAAACTTGTTCAGCATATAAAAATACACTATAATAATGTATTTAATTTTATATTCATTGAAAATTCAAGAAAAGATGCATAATCTTGGATTTTTGATCAAAAAATTCAAAATTAAGTATCTTCTTGAAAAATCATAGTGGTTTAAAAAATGAGATAGCTTATTTTTAAGTATAATTCTTCCAAAATGAGATAATTTGCTAAAAATAAAATATAACATACATAAAATTGATGTAATTTTGACAAAATGTTAAATTATAAAATTATTATCAATTTGCTAAAACAAAAATTGGACCTTAGGCCAAATTTTTGACTTTTTGCTAAAGTAATAGTATGACCTATATGAAAGATGTCTGGGGTCCTTATAAGAATATCTTCTCCCAAAGTAAAAGAAAAATCAAAATATCTATCAAGAAAAAAAGCTAGAATCTGCAATTTTTTGAAAATTTGAGCGAAGATACTTCTACATCTACCTAACCAAATTTAAAAAAAAAAATTATTTAAATTATATAGATCTATAGAATTCAAATAAAAAAAAAATTCATTGAATTTGGATAGGTAGCTGTGGAGGTATCTTTGTAAAAAAGATTAATATAACTTTTATTTTAATAGGCAGTTTATTTTTTTCTAACTTTAAATGAAAATATCTCTATATCTATTTGCCTAAACTCAATAAAATTTCTTTTATTTAAATTCTATAATTCAATAGAATTCAAATAAATCGAGTTTGATCAGATTGGTTATAGAGATACTATTGCTTAAATTTTTTAAAAAAATTGCATTATTGTTTCGATGGTTTCCTGTTATAGTTTGAAGCTGATCGTCGTACTATCAATATCACAATAAATTCTTTTGAAACTGAGTTGTCGAGAGATGATCGTGCAAAATTGTTCCCAGAACTTGGTAAATTATATCCAGACGGACATATAAAACTTACAAGGGCAGATTCCTTGGATCATGTTAAGGCAATTGTTGAGGTTTGGGTGGTACGATATTTGATTTTTTTTGTTCTCCTAGACTTTGTATTTGATATTATACAATTTAACATACATTTTCGTAGGAATATAAACCTTTCTTTGATACAACTCTAAATTCTTTTGGTGGAGCTGCCACAAGTGAGGCAAAGACTTTAGATGACCGTTTCTTTGAGTATGAAGTTCATATTAACAAGCTTACTTTCCAGCAACAATTTCATTATGCAATTTTTTATGCATTTTTAAAATTAAAAGAACAAGAAATTAGAAACATATTGTGGATTGCTGAATGTATCAGCCAAGGCCAGAAGGAAAAAATAAATAATTATATAGCTATTTTTTAATTATTATCTAGTTATTACATTTAGTTCTTGATGTTTATCTTCATAAAGATTATCCAAAAAAAATAAAAATTTAATTTATGATGCAAACAAGATTTATTATCACGTGATATTGATTTTCCAAATAAATTTGGCAACACAATTTTATTCTCTGCTTTGACCTTTTCTAATTTATAGACTCTAAATATTATCATGTCCAACATATATTCTCAACTTCCAAAATACGTTACGAATTCTCAAGAGGCAAAAAAGGAAGTATGTGAATTCTTTGAACCTATCTTAACGTTTTTTGCTCGTGTTTCATCAATGTTTTTGATAGCGACAACCACCAGTGTCCGAAACTACAAAAAAATTTGTACCTGATTTTGTGACGGGTACTTTGGAGGAAACAGTCAAAGATTCAACTAAGGTTTATGCTTCAAAATTAAAAGATAAAGTTTTACTACTCGATAATCCTTTGAAAACTTCTAATGAAAAGAAAAAAAGAAAGCATTCGAAAAAGAAGGTAAGATCTATGAGTGCAAAAGAGAAAAGAGAAACAAAAATATATGAAATTCCAAAGGAATGCCACAGGTTAAGTCTCGAATATGTAAAGATGATAAAAATGAGATTCATTTTGATTTAAATTGTTGATACAAGTACTATATCTGATTATAGATATGAACTTTTCATTCCTCTGAATGAACTTTGGCTTCAATATATTGATGAGTTATACGGAACTTCGAATCCTGCCCATTTTACTCAAAAGCTATTGAAAGCAGATTTCCATGGCGCAATTTTAACAGGTAAATTTCATAATTCTTATATTTAATTACACAAATTTCTAATCCAATATTTGATAATCTCAGTATCCAGATCAAGATGTGCTTCTTATATCGGAGTAACGGGAATCAACATTCATGAAACGGAAAATGTATTCAAATTGATCACAAAGGATAATGTTTTGAAAGGTAAGTAATTTACCTTGCTATTCTAAATTTGTGTATATATTTAAAATTTATCATTGCTTTTTCATCAGTTATTCCTAAAGGACACAGTGTATTTACATTTCTATTACGAGACCATATGTTTACTTTATATGGAGATCAATTTAGATTTAGGTCTGCTGCTAGAGCAGCGAAGAAATTTAAGAATAAACCTACTATCGATTTGTAAATGCAGTATTATGACGACATGAATAATATTTAACAAAATAATTTATACAATAGGCAACTATTGGCTATATAGAAAATTAAATATTATAACAGCTAATCTTACCGTCTTTCATTTTTAAGCCATATTGGATTAATACTGTATCTAACATTATCTCTATAATTCGAAAAAACTCATCTTGAAGCCTTATTCATCTCTAAAACTGGAGCTAAAACATTGTGTTTATTAGTCTCTACAATGCGACCATTTGATACCATTTCCTCAAGAATAACGTGAACCTTTTCAATATTGAACATTATATCTAATTCACACTTTAAGAATAAAGCCGCATAGATTAACCCAAGTTATGGAATGCATAAACATTTAATCTTTTTAATTTTAACCTACCACGTTGTCAAAATACGTATTCAATATTTCTACCAAACAGATTAGATTGTTAAAACTGTGGAAGTTAATGTATGAAACAGTTAAAAAAACATTATATATAACTTACCAACATAAGCTTGTACTAATTCTAAAATAGAAAGATGATTCTATCAAAGAAGATATGTGTATGAATATAGAATTGGATATAAAAATGGTAATATAAACTGTGTAGTTATGAACCTCTTCTTCATCGAACCCTATTACAAAGAACAGCGATGCATAACGCCTATAAGCTAATAAGAGAGAAAAAAAAACCATGAATCATCGGTTTACAATAAGTGTTAAAAACAAAATGATAAGGAAAATTCACCTAGCTTATACTGTCCATACTCAAAAATAGAACACTTATATTAAGTAAAAATAAATAAATGAAGTAATTAAGTAATGAATATCATAGATAATGAGCTTCATGAGTTGATAGAGCCCAGTTTTGCACCTGAACATCACTTCGTTTCAAACATTTTCGCGCTATATCAGCTTCCATTAGAACTCTCTCTTCTGCTTGTATTGGCATTCCAGAGTAATATCTAGAAAAGCGAGTTTGACCTTGTTTATTGACTAAAAGAAAAAATCTTAGCATTTCGATTAAAAATAATTAAAAATAAACATGCGCAAGAAAAGTCTAACTTTGTTCGTTTCGTAGTCACGTGATGCCAATCGTGTAATGTTCGAACTTTTTTGATGTTGATTGACATGCAGATCCCGGTAAAAATAAAAATTTTAAAAACTGAGCGACAGCTACCGGCTTGAATCCGATAAAACTTTATATTTGAATTCTATGGATTCATAGAATTCAAATAAAAAAAAAAATTCATCGAATTTAACCATGTGGCTATCGAGATAACTTCGCTCAAAATTAGAGAGCCCATTACAGCTATTATCATAATTCCTGAAACACCTGATAAAAATTAGCCAAATGATTGTTTGGCCGATTCGGTTAAGTTA